GTTTTTTTTTTTTTTTTTTTACTCTGAAGTAAGCACTGATTAATAATTTACATTAAGACTACAAAAGTCTCTTAAAAAGTAAACAGTCATATTGTTTTCATGTTGGGAATTTTTAAAGGTGTGGTATATAATTTCTGCCCTCTAACCGCACTAAATGGAAATGCAAAAATTATTCCTTCCAAACTGGTTTCTCAAACACTCCTCATCTACAAACACACTGTAGACAGGCAGTGTGCTCACAAACAGGTAGTCCCACCACAAACCCGTGCCATTGATTGAGCCGAAAGTTGACATGTCGGACCACTCAAATAAAAGAGAGCAGAGATGACAGAGATGTATCTTGGTTTTGGGTTCACCTGACCCCTATTGGACATTTTTCTTGTAGGTTGTTTACGTAAGCATTTAAAAACAGTTAGATGGAGCCTGTTGTAGTCAACCTTCATGACCTATCCTTAGCTGTGTATGTGCCCTCAAAAACTTCTCTGAACCTTGTTGTTATTTAGGTGGACAGTCATCTATACCAGAGGGTGTGTTTTGTCAGTGACTCATTTCCTTCAATGTTTCCGTCTTGCTTTAGGCCACGGAAAAAACCACAAGGATGCAGCGTCTGTACGGGCCACCCATCCTATCCCTGCCGCTTGTGGCATCTACTACTTTGAGGTGAAGATCGTAAGCAAAGGAAGGGATGGGTAAGTGCAAACAGCTTCTGGTTGGTGGCATTTCTGCACAGTGTTTTACTGAGATATGTGAATCATTTGGAAAGTTGCGTCACTGGTAAAATTAGAAGACGAGGTGTCTGTTTTATTAATCTGTTATACATATAGTGGGGCTCAAAATCCTGAGAGCACATTGAAAATCTTAGGACTTTGAAAAAAAAAGAAGAAAAAAAACAATGATAAAATGAATGAGTGATATTTCATATTCTAGATCACCTAGTAAATTTGTGACATTGGTCATGTGACTCCCTGTACAGATGTTTAGGTGTTCTTGATTTCACTGAAGTAAAAATCAAATCATGCTGGAAAACATGATCATGAAAGTTTTACACAAACTTGTGGAGTTCATGTAGCTTGAGTGCAGCTACCAATAAAGCAAAATGACAAACTGAAATTAATGTAAAGCAGTCTCTCACAGTGTCAGAATGGTAATTGCTGTGAAACACTGACCTTGCGTAATGCTTGAGTCACTAGTTGGTAAGTATTTGTCATGCCTTCAGTTTGAAGATGTCATTGTCCAAAAATAAATGTAAAATTGTTCCACCCTTTCCTGTCACCACTTTGCAATATGATTACTAAATATATTCATGCTGTATCACTCATGTTCTACTAGGCCATCTAACTGCAACTTACAGGTCGTGCCTAAAACTGTTGAAAAGTGCCGAGTCATCCTTTAGTCACTGGTCTCAGCCTGTGAAACTCTCTCTCAGACGCACTTAGCACTTATAAAAAGTTTCCCAAAATACCTTATACTCAGTTTAGTCACCAATTTAATTATTTCAGTTCAATTAATTTGAATTTTGTTAGGGTGCAGTCACGTTTACTTATTATTTGGTGAATTTTCATGGGCAAAATTTTGTGATGGTGAAAGATTTCCCCACACAGATTTCACAACAGGTTCAAGTTGGTCACATATTTACTGCATATTGACCAAAAGAATTACATTTCTGCAAACTTTTGAGGGCTATTGTCAATAGTGTAAAGCACAGCTCACACAAAAGTCAGTTCTCATTGGTTTAAAAGTGACTTCTGTGTGAACTGTGCTTTATACATCGCTACACTATTGACGATAGACCCTGGACCCTTTTTTGCCCACAAAACTTTGCAGAAATCAAAAGCATAATGTATGGTTTAAATGCAGTTTCATTGTTTATCAGAGGCCTTATTTTTAGTAAAGCTAACATTTGTGCTCTCTCTTTGGTGTTTGCAGGTACATGGGAATTGGACTGTCTGCCCAGGGGGTCAACATGAACAGACTGCCTGGTGAGTGTTTGTGTGTTTGTGTTTGTGTGTGTGTGTGTGTGTGTGTGCTTGTATTTACACTAAAGGGATGAGCTGTTCACCATGGGTCTGTGGGTGACTAAAGAGAGGGTGAGGTTCTGTAGCCCACAAAAAGGCAATTTAAAAAGTTGCTTTATTTGGTTACTTAAGTGTGTTTAAGTAAAAAAGAAATGGTGTTTATAACCCATTTTAATTCTGGCAGAACATTGGAGAAAAAAAAAGTAGGGAGGCACTTGATTTCATCCATTGGGAATGATTGGATTGTGAAAAGTGGGCGTTACATGCCAGAATGGAGCCAGGCGATTGGAGAGAGCCAAAAAGGAAAGTTGTTTAGGAAGAAGAGCTTTGAAGATTAATAGAGAAGTTATTACATTTTGATTAAAGATTATGAAGATTATGGCCATTCATGAAAAGGCCAACGCTGACTTTACGATTCACTTTTGGTTATAGTCTTGTAGCCTAAGACCATTTGTCTTCTGCTTTTTTCCGTCTTACACTTTTTAATAGCTTTCTATCACATTAAGACTGTAATTCAGGCCGGGAACAGGCCTCAACATGTCCTGAAAAACACTAGCTGTGGGAATGACCTTGCAAATACACAGACATCTCAGGGTTTTTCTTTCTGTGCACCTCATTCTCAGGAAATAACTTTGTGATGTGTTTTTTTTTTCTCATGAGTCCTCAAAGGAAAGGAGACCTAGATCTAATTATTGGTTTTCCTCAATGGATTTTACCTGGCATCCAGAATGTTCTGAGATCACAAAGCCTTGTCATAATTATTCATAGCTAAAAGCTAAAATTAATCAGAGAAAATCTTTTCATTCTCGCAGAGAATCCATTCACACACTAGAGGACGTCAAGCTGCTACTGGACCAGTTCATTTAAATGACTAACTGAAATGAAAAATTACAAAATAACCAAACATAATCCAGTTTGATTGGAAAAACCAAATGAAATGTGCTTGCATTACCATAATGAAGGATGTTAAATAGAAAATGTGACTGAATATTTTGACTATAGTATGTGGAGCACACTCCTATACACAATATTTGGAATTTGAAAAATGTTTGCTGCTTTATCCTATCAGTTTACTCACAAATGATTTGATAATGCAAAGTTAATCTGATTACATTTAAAAGTAATTTAATAGTAAGACATATTACATTTAAATCAAAATTTGTTGCTAAATTAAACACTGAATTGAACAGGTAGTGTGAACACAAGTTGACACTAATTAAGATTTAATATGTAAATAGACAATAATGAATTTAGTAACCTGTTTTGAATGATATTCAAATAGATTCAGAGTGTGAATCACATCTTACTGAAGAAACATAACATTTTGTATTAGCTCTCTCTTTTATCTGTGAAAAGTCAAGTATTTTCAGCAGACTTCAGTGTAACATGATCCTTCAGAAATCATTCAAATTTCAGATTTTTTATTATCAATGTTGAAAACAGTTGTGCTGATTAATATTTTTTTGTGGAACCGTCGTGTATTTTTTTTCAAGATTCTTTGATAAAGAACAGCAATTTATTTGAAATAGAAATTGACCCCAGACTTAACGTTTATTAGATAAGAGCATAATAGGAAGGCCTGTATGCAGAAATAGAGAGAGCAGTTTTGGGCACAGTTGGGTTCATGTCACTCCCCTGTGACCTCTCTGACCAATCAAGTGACTTTGTCGATCGCTTGTTAGCTTCTATACTGTGCCTGAGGCCTTTGAAACGCTTCGGAGCAATCTAGCCAATTTGGCATGTGTGTGCTGACAACTTATGTGTTTATTGACCCCTGTGCTCTCTTCATGAACCACTCTTTGTCTCAGAGTGCTTTGGAATATAGTGGAATGTAGACAAACGCATGTAGAGTGGCCAGTGTATTTTCTGGTGTGTTTAGTGCCTACAGCCAACAGCATGATATTCTTTCTCTGGTTGTAGGTGCTTCCTTGACTATAACTGGGATGCTGTAATATATGTTAAGTTCAGGTTGCTGGATTAGTGCTACAGTTGATGTTAAATTTTTGGTATTTTGTAATTGTGTGTTATAGAACAAAGCTGGTTTATTGGAAAGAATTAGATGTTTAATTCTCCCCCCCCAAAGTAATCTAATATAGTAAATAATAAGTAATATAATATATTCATATAATATAAATAATGTAATAAGTATAAATAATACAAATAAATATAATAATATTGTTAAAAAATAAATGTAAACAATATTCATTAAACATTTTATCACATTTTATGTATGTTTTATTCATGTGTATACACACACACACACACACATATATATATCTAAATATCATTGTTAGTTTCTAATGTCTTTAATCTGTTTTTCCTCTTTAGTTCACTTGCTTTTTGCAATTAACTATCCCATAATTCCAAAACAAAACACTTATATCAGTAGAAGTTACTGTAGTTTCTTATGAGAATGTATGGTGCATTGGCACATTGTATATTTGCATGTGTGGTATGTGTGCAATTTGAGTGTAATGGTTTTACGCGCACCGCTGACCTCCGTGTCTCTGAACCCATACTGGAGTTCTGCCCATTTCATTAGCATGAAGGGAACACTGAGCTCTGCTTTAGGAGTAATATCCCTGCCCACACTGCTCTGCAGATTAATCTAATACCACACTCATTTTTTCATTCGTTTTGCATCTGTTCAGTCTGTCATTCACAGAATGCACTTGTTTACTCCGTTTCACGTAGTGACTATAAATATAATTGCTTACGCAATACCATTTTTATCATGTACTAATCATGATTGCCTGCCAGCATTCAAGTTTTGAGTCAGATCGGCCTGATGCAGTGCTTGTTTCAGAACAGCCAAAAAGCCAACTTCTGCTCACCAGGACCATCATCAGGCATTACAGTCAGGACCTAAGTGTGTTTTTGCTGTGGTCCACCCATATAATTTCCCAAAGTCCTGCTGCCTATCCTGCAAGGGTCCACCACTTATTCTTTTCTGCACAATTATGAGAATGGTGCTCATAATTTATGTAAGAAGCAGTATTTTATGATGCTGTAGACCAGATGGCATATCAAACGCTGCAGGCTTAGGATCGGCTTCGACTCATCCTGTGACTATCAGTACAGAGGCAGAAACAAGATTCCTTATTAGCAGGCGAAATCTGTGCCGTCCTAGATCTCTACATAAGTGAAACACCATTTGTTGACATCCCATGCATATTTGATTATTACATACTTTGGCTAATTTGCTTATGCTCTCAGCTTCCAATAAGAGTGTGGTAGTGTCATTGCTGTCTAAAATAGTTTAGGATGTCAATACAGAATTCCACAGATTTCCCTCTAACATCACTGCAAGAAATGTAGCTTTTGAATCCAGGTGATTCCCATTTTAATTATTGTATGTATTTCTCTCTCTCACCTCAGGTTGGGACAAGCACTCCTATGGTTACCATGGTGACGACGGACACTCCTTTTGCTCCTCAGGGACTGGCCAACCATATGGTCCAACCTTCACAACGGGCGACGTCATTGGCTGCTGCGTGAACCTCATCAATAACACATGCTTTTACACCAAGAATGGGCACAGTTTAGGTAATAATTTAATGAAATATTAAGCATAAATTTTATGAATGCTTAAATCGTTAGAAATCAGTTTTGGGGCTCAAGTTAAAGTTTTTGATATTTTTCTTATGTAATTTTAGAATACACAATACTAAGCAGTTCTGATTTTTTATTTGTATTTTTCCTCCAGGTGTGGCTTTCACAGATCTCCCAGTAAGTAAAGCACACAGACCTCAAACAGTGTAATCTAAAACTCAAATTATTAAAAATAGATTTTTAATTTAATAAAAAAAATGTGTGTGTGTGTATATATATATATATATATATATATAAGCTTAAGAAAACCTAAACAAAAATTGGTTAACTTAGCAATTTGAATAAGTTTATGTTGGAGTTAAAGTTTTTGATATTTTTCTTATGTAATTTTAGAATACACAATACTAAGCAGTTCTGATTTTTTATTTGTATTTTTCCTCCAGGTGTGGCTTTCACAGATCTCCCAGTAAGTAAAGCACACAGACCTCAAACAGTGTAATCTAAAACTCAAATTATTAAAAATAGATTTTTAATTTAATAAAAAAAATGTGTGTATATATATATATATATATATATATAAGCTTAAGAAAACCTAAACAAAAATTGGTTAACTTAGCAATTTGAATAAGTTTATGTTGGAAGTACTAAATTTACTAAAACTAAAACAAATAAAAATAAAGCTAAATGAAAATATTAAAAAAACTAATGAAAAAAAAGTGCACAACAAAATTAAATAGACTAAAATTAACTCGACATAATATATACTAGTATATAGATAATACTAAAATGAATAAAGAAGACTGGGACCATTTTATTTGAAAATGTTTGTATTAAAAATAGTCTCAGGCTTTTGGATGTAACTTTATGCTTATATTGTCTCCTTGTCATGTTACTTTTTTCACGTCAAGGCCTCCATCAGACCTGTATCTCTGTGCTAGCTTGTACTTTTCTGCCCAACTTTGAATCTTTGTATTGCAGCAGTTCTCATGTTACGCTCCCCCTAGGATGAATTGCTTGTATTGTAGCATTCCTCATTTGTAAGTCACTTTGCGTCTGCTAAATGAATACCTTTAATGGTGGATCGATAACTTGTTGTAGGCTAGTCATGAGCTCAAATGAGGATTTCTGCTTCTGTGTGGAGCTTCAGTTAAGGCCTTGCCAGTTAAGGTGTGACTGAAGGATTCCCTGTTCTGTGAATTACTGAGGGAGCATGTGTAGACCTTCTGAACAGACTCTCAGCTCTCTCTTTTTGTCCCTGTCTCTCATTTCAGCCTAACCTGTACCCCACAGTAGGGCTACAGACTCCAGGGGAGATAGTAGATGCAAATTTTGGCCAACAGCCTTTTGTGTTTGACATTGAGGACTACATGAGCGAATGGAGGGCCAAGATCCACAGCATGATCGCCCGCTTCCCCATCGGAGAAAGACTGGGAGACTGGCAGGCGGTTCTGCAGAAGTGAGCATCCAGTCACCTTATAATAAATTCAGCAGTTGCAAAATTGATAGAAACATCTACTTCATGTTACGTTGCTAATCAGCCTTGTTATGTGGCTAATTTGTGATTCATAATGTTTTTTCACCTCATATGAACCTTTTTATGTTTATATCTGCAGTATGGTGTCCAGCTACTTAGTGCATCATGGGTATTGTGCCACAGCAATGACCTTTGCCAGAGCCACAGAGACCATGATCCAAGAGGACCAAACCTCAATAAAAAACAGACAGAGTGAGTACAAAGTCAACTAGTTTAGCTACAAATAAATGGAAATTAATAAATGGATAATTATGTGTGATTTGAATATGTGGCAGAATTAATAAGTTAAACAGATCTTCTCATGTCGTTTGTGCTTTGGGAATAGGAAAATATAACCGTTATGAGGAACTTAACGTTTTACGGAATAAGCAAAACCATTGCTTTTTTTGGATGATTGGTTATGAATATTTTATCAATTTCTCAGTTAGAGTTATAGTAAAGCATCTTTGATTTAAGATGTAATGAACACACTGCATATTTAATGCTACCATAATTAGTTATCTGGCACTGGCCACAACTGAGTGAATTTAATAAATCTTGTTGAAAGCAGCTTTTCATGAGATGATGAGATGAATTAAATGTTGTGTGATTTTGCTCCCAAAGAAAGGCAGAGTCTATAGGAGTATACTTTAATGCTGAAAGTTGGTATTATCATGAGTAATCAAATTTTCTGTGATCTTCTCAGATAAAAGAGCTCAATGTACAATAAAAGTATGCTGTAGCTTTGAACACTTACAACGTCTCCTTTGCAAAAAGAATATGTACTGAAACTAAGCTTCAAAAATGACTCCCTCGGATTTCAATCCTAATCCTTTCAGGTAATAAGTAGAAAGTATTGATTATATAGGCCTAATTCCTAAACAAAATAAGTAGAACAAAAAAAGTGTAAACTGTTTAACTAACCTTGTGCTTTTTCTGGTGTGTGTAGCACACTTACCTGAATGATCCCAATAATAGAAATGAAATGCTTTATTTATTTATTTATTATAATAGGGTGACCATACGTCCTCCTTTTCCAGAAATGTCCAGGATTTGGCTTTGTTTTCCTATTGGCGTGCTCTCTATGGTCCTCAACAAAAACATGGTGCTCATGCATGTGCGAGACGGTGAAATAGCAGCGCATTCAAAGTTGTGCATATAACGTTGCATTGTTTTAACCGTTCTCTGTACACTGTAAAAAATCAAAAGGTGAGAAAACTTGAAAGTTTAAGGCAACCAGCTTCAGGAATTGAGAAAACTTTAAAATCTCCTGAAGCTGGTTGTCTTCAACTTTTAAGTTTTCTCAACTTTTGATCTTTTTACAGTGTATATCCCCCTTTCGTGCAGCCACGATTGGTTGAATATGTACACATGCCTGCACGCTATAGGCCAAACAGTTATTACTTTCAGCCAGGGGCGTAGATTACGCGGGGGACGTGTCCCCCCCACTTTTAATATCACGTACATTCGTCCCCCGCACTTTTC